CTCCCGCCATCATCGATGATCAGCTGCCCCTGTTCTCGTGTCTCCACTATCATCGCCGATCATGCAGCTCTCTTCGGGCTTCTTGGCTATGATGCAGCTGTCGTCATCAGCCTCGTCATGGAGCTGGGCACGCCGCAGGCTGTTCTGCTGCTGACAGTGACTGTCGTGCTGCTCCCGGTTGCGCTCATGGCGGCTCTGAAGAATCACATCTCCCTCTCATCTCATCTATCTGCACCAAGCTAGCCGCCATCATCCTCACACCGATCTGTTGGTCATGCACTAGGGGTCATCGCCATCTCAATGCAGTTTGGGCGCTAGGGGTGCCTGGCCGCTTCCCCTCTACCATCGTAACGTGCATCATGGCTGCCATCTGGATGGATTACTCTCACTACCAGAAACCTCAAATTTGCGAGTGTTTTTATGTTTGCCGAGTGCATTCTCTTGGGCACTTGGCAAATAATTTCTTTGCCGAGTGCTATCCTAAAAACACTCGGCAAATAGGGGAGTTTGCCGAGTGTCAAACAAAAAACACTCGACAAATAGGGGGTTTACCGAGTGTCAAAAAAAACACTCAACAAAAAGAGAGGTTTGCCGAGTGTCCAAAAACAACACTCGGCAAAGAAAAAAAATGTACGCCCCTAAAATCACCCACACGCCCCTCCCCTCCCTCACGCAACACCCCCTCCTCCCGCACCCACCCCTCCCTCCGTCGCCCGGTGAGATCCCCTCCTCCGCTGCCACCCCCTCCCGCCGGTGGCCCCTCCTCTCCCTACCCTTCTTCTTTCCACGCGGCCGCCCCTCCCCTCCTCCCTTCTTCCCGTCGGCCGGCCGGCCCTCCCTCCCTTCTTCTTCTTCCTTGGGCGGCCCCCCCCCGGCCCCCCCTCCCCTCCTCCCTTCTTCCTCACCTGATCCGGCCCCTCCTTCTTCCCGCCGGATCCCGCCCTCCCTTCTTCTTCCCTCCGGATCCGCCCTCCTTCTTCCCCACCGGATCCCGCCCTCCCTTCTTCCCCGACTCCCCCCTCCCTACCTTCTTCCCCGGCCCTCCCTCCCACTTCCTGGCGCCGCCTCCCACCGGCGAGATCCAGCGGCCGGTGCCGCCCTCTCCCTCCCTCCCTCCCCCAACGACGAGATCCAAGGAGGGGGCCCGGCAGCGGTGCACCCCAGGCGGCGGTGCTGGTGGTGCAGGCGTGGTGTCAGTGTCCCTCCTCCAGATCCGGCCGTCGGCACCTCCCTCCTCCACACGAAAGGGCACCATGTTGGCCTCAGCGTGGTTGCCGCCAGCGGGCGAGGAGAGGCAGGACGCGGCGCCCTACGCCGAGCTTCCCATGTCTGTCGAGTCTGTACTGAAATTTATACATGTTTTTTTTGTAGATCCATGCAATGTGTTTTTGGACTGTTATTAGCGTTAGATCTGTTAATTTTTGGAACCTACTCAGTACTGAAATTCTGATTGGATGGTTCTAGAGTACTATTTGTCAACTCTTGAGCTGGCAGATTGATGATGAAACAATTACCCCAAGCGCTTTATTCCACTTATACTAGTGATGGAAAGCTATGTTACAATAGCTTTTGTGGTTTTCAATCTGAAACTGCAGATCAAGAGTTCAGTTTTTTTTTAAAAAAAATTGTGCTATTTTTTTTCTTCCAGTCATGTCAAGATGGAAAACTTGACTAGAAGATGGCATTTGGATCTGTTGTTTAGTTTCCTTTTGGTTTAAGTAATGGGAGAAGTGATGAGATTATATCCACACGAGATATCTGCATTCTTTATGATGACAACATCATGCATCACCATCGGATCTCTCATTGCTTTAATTGCTTTTACTAGAAAATATTGGCCCCCAAGTTTAATATTGTACTCTAGCTTTTATGGTTGGTAGTTGGCAACTGCACATCAAGCATCATTACATTCTTTTAAAAATGTTGTACTGCTATTTGTTGCTCTGATATTTTGATCATGTCTGTGGTTCAGGTTTATTAGAGTTGTATAAGATGAATTTTAATGGGAGAAGTGATGATATCATAACATACACTACCGGACTGCTTGAATTTACCGAGTGTCCGAAACACTCGGCAAACCACTTAAAACACTCGGCAAATGGTTCGCCGAGTGTAACGAACAGCACTCGCCAAAAAAAGTGACGGCAAAGCCAACTTTACCGAGTGTTTTTTATCGGGCACTCGGCAAAGCCTTTGCCGAGTGCCCGACACTCGGCAAAGTTGAAACCGAAAAAAACACGAAAAAAATGGGAATTTTTTTTATCGATGGAGGCCCCCACCGGCCAGCGCCCATCCATCTACAACATTTTTCGCGTGAATTTCATGGCTACGCGACCGACGCAATTCGAACCCGAGACCTCTCGCTGTGCACGTACCTGCTCTACCACTACACCACACTCTCACTTGTGTCTTGATTCTATTTTAGTTCCCAATATATTATATTAAACCGAGTGTAAATTGCATGTTTGAGGCCCTAAACGAATTCAAATAAAAAAGTTGTAAACTACAAAGTTTCATAACTTTTCGAGATCTACACTTTTAGTTTAGAAAGTTTTTCCATCCGAGGTCGTTTACAAAATTTGAATTTTAAAATTTTGAAATTCAAACACAGTTTTGCATGACAAGATGTTTTCAAATCAAAAAGTTGTAAACTACAAAGTTTCATAACTTTTCGAGATCTACACTTTTAGTTTAGGAAGTTTTTCCATCCGAGGTCATTTACAAAATTTGAATTTTAAAATTTTGAAATTCAAACACAGTTTTGCATGACAAGATGTTTTCAAATCAAAAAGTTGTCAACTACAATGTTTCATAACTTTTCGAGATCTACAGAGTTTATTTTGGTTGTTTTTTCATCCGAGGTCGTTTGAAAAGTTCGAATTTTAAAATTTTGAGGCCGAGTGTAAAAATTCGGAGCATGACGGTGGTGGCTAGGATATGAAGTCGAACCGGAAGAGATGGGCGCAAACTAATAAATAACCAAATGAATTAGGAGCTGAAGCTATAGTGGTCCATTTGGTCTTTGCCAAGTAGTATAATGGAGATTTTTATTTTACTTTCTTTGATCAAACTGGTAGTTTCTAGACCTTGAGATTTAATATGGAATTTATTTTGTTGGCCAAATACTAATATGGTAGTTTTCTAAAAATTTATTTTTTATTTGATTTATTTTGTGAGATTTAGCATGGAGCCTTCCAAACATTCTTTAATTAATAATAGACCGGTGTTAAAGAAAACACTGGTCGATAGCAGCAGCTCGGATTCTACATCTAGCTAGTACTCCCTTCGTCCAAAAAATTTAATGTTTTAGGATTTTTATGGTAGATTAATAATCAACAGAAATTACTCATATATCCTTATTTATTGAAGGTGAAAAAAAACTTTTATTGAAAGGAATATACGGAAATATGCAGATCACAATCTCAAGTTGGTATGAACCTAATCTATTATCCAAAAGCTAAAACATCAAGTTTCCTGACACATTTTTTTGAATTCTAGAATATATCAAGTTTTTTGGATGGAGGGAGTACATTGGATTCCCTAACTTTGTTCACTTTGAGTCCCTCACAAGGCATCAAACCAAAAGGATAGTGTACTGACTCAATAAGGATACTGTAGGACCAGATTAGGCAGATATATAACGAGGAACAGAGGAGCCTTGCTACTTATTATACTAGCATGCCTTTATTAATCTTTAACTTTTGAAAATTCTGCAGCGGCCCGTTAGCTGGTTCCAAGCAAAGAATCGTCTTTTGTTTTCTTTTTCTCACTCAATAAGCAAAGAATCATCTCTGATGAGCATACAGACACACAAAAGAAAAGTTTATCCGAACATTTGGCTAAAAGCAAAGTTTCTGTGGACTACGACCACTAGCTACTTTTCTCACCCAATAAGCAAAGAATCATCTCTGATGAACATTTGCTTCTCTCTAGACTCTCCCTCAGACCCATCCTCACACACGCACACAAGCCCAACACTCGCTCAATCGTCGGTTCGATCTGTTTGGCTTCTATCTCCTGCAGCTGCATGCAAATTCAACATAACCGAGGTATGTAATTTAATTATTGGATCTACAATGTATGTAATAACATGCTCATAATCATGGGAAAAACAACTAATTGGAAATTACATGCAATCTTTGGTTTGATCCGTTTATCTTTCTACATATCTCCTGCTATATTCGAGGAAAAAAAACAACTAATTTCTGCTGCGTATTCGAGAAGAAAAAATTTATATATGCCCTGCTACTGCATGCCAATTAAATATAACCGAGGTATGCAATTTAATTACTAGATCCCTTCCGGCGCAAGTTGAAGTTCATCGATCGTCTCTGCTGCTATGCTGCATATATGTAGCTTTTGCCAATCATGGAAACCAACTAATTTGGAGAAGTGGATACATCACACGTTTGTGGCATAAAATTTATGATGCATGAGACCCTACTACATATGCATGGATAATTTATATGTTCTTAAATTCCCCTTCCGTCCTAAAATATGATGTATTTTTAGTTGGTCTAACTCAAATTGTCATAAATTTCACAAAAATTCCTTAAAAAAAAGAATATGACGTCAAATAATTAAGCTTCCTTAGACACATTATTATGAAATGTATTTTCATAACTTACCTTTTTATGTAATAGAAGCTAAGATTTTACTATGCAAACTTGGTCAAACAAACTTAAGATAATGTGATACAGAAAAACTGAAGATCTCTTATATTTCGGGATTAAGTGAGTAGTTTCATGCTTGTGTGTTGATCAGGTCAGCGGATGGAATGATCGCGATGGGTTAGATTCCATATATAATTGAAACGGGATCGGTCTGCTGGTCGTTGGCATCGATGTGCATCGACCATTCCCTTGCAAAATGAAGCGGAGGTTGCAGCATTATGTTATTAATTGCTGAAGATATAGTTCTGGTACACCGGACAAATAATCCACCAAGCTAAGCCAAACTGACTGGCGCGGCCGGTTACTTCAAATTCAATCCAATCCATCATGCGTACTCAGGTAACCGCCCAGTTAGCAAGATCTCTCTTTTTGTTTCTGCTCCACCTTAATTTCAAGTGATGAGCACACCTTGTGACCCGATGACCTGACGCATATGTGAATATGTATGCAGAATATCAGGGCCGACACGATAGACGCGGCTGCTGAAGAAATTCTCCGAGTGCTGAAGGAAAAGACTAATACTACCAGAACCGTCGGTAGCAGAGACAATGTCTTCTACTTCGACGGCTGGGACGGGCTGGGGGCGTCCGCCGTCCTCCGAGCCATCGCCCAACGCCTCTCCACAACTTCAGCAGATGGGAAGAGAGCTCTGGCCGAACTGGAGTTTGATCAGGTCATCCACATTGACTGCTCGATGTGGGAGAGCAGGAGAGCGCTTCAGAGGTTGGTCGCAGAGCAGCTGAGGCTCCCCGATCAAGTGATGGAGTTGTTCGACAGGCAGGACGAGGAGGATGATTTCCGCGGGGTGGCCCAGGGCTCCCGAGCTGAGCTACAGCTTGTCAGGGAGATGTATCAACACATACAGAACCGCAGATTCTTGGTGGTTTTCCACAATGGAAGCAGCGAGGAGATTGATCTAGCCAGTTTGTGTGGCTTCCCTCTGTCCGGGTACTCGACCAGCAAGGTGCTGTGGACATTCCAAGGGAGATTCCGACTCAAACCTCGGACGAAAGTTGACATGGCCATGAAGACCGCGGGAACAACTGACTCTTTTATCTCGGCAGACCCATACCATAAAATGCGAGAGATCTGGCCCTACCTTGTACTCCAAGAGGCTGCGGAAGTAGTTGCGGCATGCAAGGTCAAAACTGGGTCTGCCGGCATTATCGATCAGCCCGAACAAGTGGTCGAGTGCTTCCTGTACATGTGGGAGCTGTGTTGCATAAGCAGACAGTGGATTGACTATGATTTGGACACCCACATCACCAACTACTGGGTATGTGATGGCGTCATACATCAGCAGCTACAACAGGGACAGAGAGATGATGGGTTGTGGCGAGCTGCTGATTCTCTGCAGTTTGAGATGCCACTGGATGCGGACTACCATCAATATTTGCTCTCCCCTCAATATTTGCTTTCCCCTCACATAGCAACGATTGTCAAGAGCAAGCCATTCTGGAGTTCACCGACTTGTGGGTTTACTCGGATCTCGGACCGAGCTATTCCAAATGGAGGCATGCTGCAACACTATGCTGACAAGCTTAGTGTTCTCAAGCTCTCAGGCTGCACCTTTGATTTTCAGGCACCTCCATTCCTCTGCTGCCAAAGCCTCAGGTTTCTGTGGCTTGACCATTGCCAAGGAACCAAGACAAGCACAGATCGAGCGGGAAAGGAGGACGACATCCGCCGGTGCTTTCAGAGGCTGTGGGTGCTCGACCTGCGCTACACAGACTGTGATCAGATATTGTCTGCGCAGATGTTGGCTCTCATGACCCAGCTCAGGGAGCTAAATGTGATCGGAGCCAAGGGATGGGACATGGGCCAGCTACAGGGACGATTGCCTAACATCCGCAAGCTCCGAGTAAAAAAGTCTCACGATGTCAGATGCAGTTGCTCGGAAAATGATCTGTTCTCGGGGATGAACAAGATGGAGCATCTTGACTTCTCAGGAAACTATACGACTTACGATGGTTCCAGTCTCATGATGAGCTTATTTGGCCCAGGGGTAAGCAGCAATGTTAGTTGCCTTGAGACTGTCGTCATTGTTGACAGATGTGATGTGGTACAACAAATCTCCTTCCGCGGATGTACTAAACTGAACAATCTACTCTTGGGAGGATGGATGGTGCTCCACACCCTAGACATCTCAGGCACAGCAGTGAAAACACTAGATCTCAGTACACCATACATCCCGAACCTTTATGAGCTCTATCTACTTGACTGCGAGAAGCTTTGTGCAATCCTGTGGCCACCGAAAGAGCAAATGAAACAAGAAGGCTTGGGTAAGCTGTGCATTGACACCACGCAGTCAGCACCCACTGCCCAATCGAGAGAAGAAAACCCCAAGAGGGGAACTAGTACTGCTACTACAAGAACATCAGTAGCACCTGCAGCTGCACCACATGGCAGTCGGCCGAGCAGTGAATTTGATTGGCACATTTCTGTACGGGACGCAAGGCTCCTTGGGTCCCTGGAGCCTGTCTACTCTGATTCCCGCAAGGCATATGTGGAGATTTCCTCTCCTCCTCATCCTACCGTTGTTGGTGGTGGTAGCAAAGATGAAGGAATATTCAAGAGCGCAGGCAGTCGTGAGCAGCAATTGGTGGTAAACTTGCAGCGTCAGCCTGTGCCTGCAGTATACACAGATATCTCCGTGGACCGCCTACAACAAGCTAGTGAAGGCGGTGGTGATACTCTGGGAATCATGTGGATGTGGCCTTGCCCGGATGTTCCTGATCTTCCAGAAAAGAGGTGCTACATGCACATACAAGACCAGATAAAGACAAAATTACCTCCAGGTGGTGAAGAGACTAGTACTATTACTGTCCCATGGTTTGTAACTAAGTCTGCTAAGATCCTGCATGTGCACGATAGCCTGTCCATCACTAGTATCACTTCATATCAATATGATGGTTCAGAATGGCCTGACCTAGAGTGGTGCAGAATCGAGAGGTGTCCCAATTTGGACTTTGTCTTCAATCATGTTGAAAACTTTGACTTTACTTATCAGCTGAGAATATTCTGGGCATCCCAACTCCTAAAGTCACGCTATATCTCAACATCAAATGGATACCGTATATTTCCGCACCTGACTTTGCTGCACCTGGACTTCTGCCCCAGGCTTATACACATACTCCCTTTGACCATGGGGTTGGTTCACGGGGATGAGGACAGCTTGCGCCTCCTGGAGACCCTTGAGATTGCATGGTGCGGTGATCTCAGGGAGATATTTCCTTTCCAAAGAGGCAAGCCAAATCCCAAAGACTTCCCCAAGTTGAAGAGTATCCACCTGCATGAGCTCCCTTCACTACAGCAAATTTGTGGGGTTAGAATGTCTGCACCGAATCTTGAGACAGTCAAGATCAGGGGCTGTTGGAGCCTCAGGTGCCTTCCTGACATTGGCCGCAACAACAAGGTAGTGGAGTGCGACTGCGAGAAGGAATGGTGGGACAGGCTGGAGTGGGATGACCGCTCGCAAGCGGACAACTACAGACCCATCCACCCACGGTATTACAAGAAGACCATGCTCAGGAGCAGTGTGCTCAGGTAGTCCCTCACTCTTTTCCATCATGCAGTTGAAGTATATTAGAATTCTGTCTCCCAAGTCTATTTAGCAACCAATTGAACTCCCTTCCCTCCATCTCAGCCATCTAACTCCAAAGTTTTTACATATGCTTATCATAGTACAAGACAACTACAGTAGTATTATTTATGATGTTGACCAATGGCTTAGTGGTTAGTGATGCATTATGCATTCCTTTTATATATGTGCACCAAGGGCGATTGTCATGCCAGACACTTCACATTGTTGATTTGCTCACCTGAATTGATGGATATTATTGTTTTTCTCTGATGCTCTCCTCTCCAACTCCTGCAGGTGAGGTAACCCGGCCAGCTCTTTGTTGGATTACAGTAACTGGCTGGCCTGCTAGCTGGTGTCTCGCCTTCGATCTCCTGCTCACAGTTCTACTTCTCTGCATCCACTTGATCGGTTCGTGTGTGCGCGCGCGCGTGCAAATGACAACATGGATGCATATGCTTTTGCTTGCGTCCTGTGGTCTGTCTTGTTTGCATTAGTTTGCTTTGCTTTGGTTTGTTTGGTCAGGTTTCCTCGAGGGATCCAGCCATCCATCCATCACTGCTGCCTATGTGCTCTGTTTGGGCGGTAGTGAGATAAAATAAGAGCCAGTGAGCATTCAGTCCAACAGCTGAATTCCCTTCAGCTTGTGCAACAGCAGCATGAGACATGCCCTCATGCGTGCTACTGCCAATTGGTGTGCTCTTGTCTGGTGTGATTGTGAACTTTGGTTTGGTGTGTGCTGCACTGTTGTGTGGTGTGTTGACTTTTCAGTTATGTGTGGAGTAGAGTGATCAATGTTATTGTTGCGCTACTTATGTTTGTGAACAAATAAATAAATGTTGATGGTTGTATGTGTGATTTCAACATCCAGTACTACGTATGGAACTATGTATGTGGGTCCAATATAAATGTTTCTTACTTGGAAAAACATGTGCTAACTCTTTTATGGAGTGCAATAATACTACTGTCACATGTGCTCTCATGGTGACAAAATTTATGCTCGTAAATATATGTGGTCATGTATAAATTGGTATCTCTCCATAGTCCAATCTTCCTCTGATGTCTATTAGTTCCTTTTTCTCAGATGTGAAGATGTGAACGTCAATTCATCATGGAACTTTTCTAGACCACTTGAAGGAAAAGTGGTGCCTTTAGGGCCCTTTTGGCACAACTACACCACCGGTTCCTGGAGGTATTTGGAGCCATTTTGTGCCAAATGGGGTAAAACAAAATAACTCCACCCAAGGAGCCCCTTAAAACCTGCCGAGAGACAGAGAATAGGTGCGAGATGAAGCTGGAAATAGTGGCTTCACCCAGCTCCACCTCGCCTTAGTGGGCCCAATGAGAGCACAGAGACCCGTTTTGCTCCTGCATAGAGAAGAAGAAGCGTGTGTGTGGGGAAGCTAGGCTTATTGCTTGCCGGGCGAAAGCAGGAAGACCAGAAAGGGGCCGAGGGCGAGAATCCGGCCGCGCAGGACTTTCGCGTGGTCTTGGTGCGGACAAAGGCGCCGCCGCCGAAAGCGTCAGGAGAGCGGACGTCGTTGCCAGGGGGTGCGTGGGATGCGAATGCCACTTGCCAAACGCATTGGGGCGGACAAGGGTGCCGCCGTCGAGGCGCGTGGGACGCGGCCGCCACCTGCTCGAGGCGCTCGAGCGCAGACGCCGCTGTTGTGGGGTGCGCGGGACGCGGCCATCGCCTGCTAGACACGCACGGGCACAGACATCGCTGCCGGGGGCCTGCGAGCGCCACCGGATGTGTTGAGAAGGACTGAGAGAAGAAGAAGGACCGAGAGAAGGAGGAGGAGGAGGGTATTTTGGTCTTTTCATTAATATTGTCTACAAGGAGGAGTTGTTTCGCCAAACAGTCCATAAAAATAGCTGCAGCTCTGTCGAGAGAGTTGAAGCTCAAAAAATGGCTACACTAGTCAAGTGGAGCCATGCCAAACGGGACCTTAATTAGCTAGTTGCTCTATATGGATACCTGACTGACATTTTCAAAGAAAAAAAAGCTCGGCTTTTGACTGTTCAGTTAGTCATGATGGCACTCACTGAAGATAAAAAATAATATGGGTTTCATGTTTAAATATTGTTTTGATGTCTACTTCTTTTGTTCAATGGGTTTTTGTTTTAGGCAAATTTTGCTTCGCCAATTCTAAAATTTGCTCGGTTCCATTATGAAATTATGTTTCTTTGCCTCTGGACAACGCAAGCATTAAAATATCCATTTCAATGGATTGGGAGAAAGAAAGGTGCGTGAATAGATCATATTGCCCATGCAAAAAACGGGAAAGGACCAATATGCTTTCCATGCAAACATATGTGAAGTCCAACTGGAAGAGATGGGCACAAACTAATAAATAACCAAAGAAATTCATAGCATTAGCGAGGTTATAGCGGTCCATTTGGACTCACTATCACAAAAATGATTTTAGGAGATCGCCTCACTGATTAGCAGAGGCGTGCACATCTAGAGACCGCCTCCGTAAATGGCCAGGCGGCCTCGAGGCAAATTCCCACCTCTGAAAATCAATTACTGAGGTGGGCGGCCTAAGATAGATATCTTTAGATGTCCATCTCTAAAAAATTGCTATTAACAGAGGCAGCCATTTTAAGTGTCCATCTCTAAAATTGATTTTCTGAGGCGAACATATTAAGATGTCGTCTCTAAAAATAGTTCATTAAAAAATAATTCATAATTTTTTCATAAGAACTCGACAAACTTTATATCAAATTGTAGTTGAGAAGTTCTTCATTCGAAAAAGTCCTAAAATATTATTTTAAATTCGTGGATTTAAAATTTTAAAAAATTTAAACAACCTCATATGTTGACATGATCCATACTAAAGCTGTAGTTCTCAATACATGACTTGGATTTATGATTCGTGCTCATACGAGTTACAACAACTAACGTTCCGCGATGATAAAAAATTCGATTCCAAGATATATCGGGTTCCGTGCTATGCATTGGCACGTTTCCTATCCTAGTTAATATTAGAGATAGTGATAAATTTGCTATCCACTTCTGTTCATATTAATTAACGCTTTAATATTAGGGATAGAGATATATTTCCTATCCACTTCTTCTGTTTCATATGATTTAGCTAGGAGACAATGGTGTTATCGTGGTCCATCTCAACTTTGTCCGGAGGTAATCTATCCCTAATCCTTAATACTAAATCCCTGATACTAAAGAGACAAAATCTCTTGCCACCCTAAATTTTCGTCCAACCTAATCCTGAAGTGGCTCAGACTCGCCATCAAATACAAAAAACTATGTCCGTGTTTTTTCCATGAACCGTCCGTTGTTTCCGTCCCTTTCCCGTTTTTTTTTTCGTTTCCTCTTCCCACCATTACGTGACTTTTTCTTCTCTTTTTTATCTCCCATTTTTTCTTGTAATAAATAATAAATATATTATGAGTCTTCTATTTTTTAACTTTCCAAAATGCGCTCACGCCCTCCGTGTGCCGTTTGTGAGTCCGGACTTATGGTCTGTGCTTATACAAGTAAGCATAACTCGCATTTCTTATCTTTTTTATCCAACTTTAAATAATAAATATAAATAATAAATATATTATGAGTCTCCTATCTTTTTACTTTCCAAAATACGCTCACACCCTCCGAGTCCCGTATGAGAGTCCGGACTCATGATTCGTGCTCATATAAGTAACCACAACTCGCATTTAGCAGCGCATGGCACAATTGTTAGCAAAATAAACAAAATCTTTCAATAGTCTACGTTGGATTGGTGAGACCTGCAAAACTACACGATACCGGAGTAGGTGAGTACTTTATCGACATATTTTTAGGTTTTATTATTTTCTTTTCCCGAGTATATTTTTAGGTCACATAATCTAAACCAAATGCATTCAAGAAAATCTTCATCCAAATCTGGTGGCAGCTTGTTAAGATCCATATTTGAGAACTACATGCAAAACAGTAAATTACATGAAATTAGGCAACTTAGTTAAACCCATTAGGCAATAATACTATACAAAATTAGGCAAAAAAGGCCAGCAACTTATGCAGTTTTGTTCAGTACATGCTATCAGTTTTGTTTAGTACATGCTATCAGTTACATGAAATTTCATGATAGCTGTGGCTATCAGTTTTCCACGGTTACAGTGGGACTGAAGACTGACTAACACTGTACCTAAATGTTACGACCTGTAAAATGGACACATGAGAGTTTAGAAACTTAAGAGTGTCCATGGTACAAAATGCATTTTATTCCATAGTCAGTTTTCAACTTAATGAATCTATTGTTCTTGTGTTTCCCTCTTTTTGCAGAAAGTTAAAATTTGATGCTTGTTTGTCCTCAACTCAGTTGATTTAAACATTTTTTCCTCAGTTCTCACTGCCATCTATGTGCTTATCATGTACTTCTATTTAATTGCAGGTGTGAGGCCATCAAGCATCAAAATGAACATGTGCAACAGCTAACACAAGAAAGTTTAATGCATAGGAGTAACCATGTGCGCAGACTTAACACAAGAAAGTTTAATGCATAGGAGTAACCATGCAGCAGACTAACACAAGAAGGTTTAATGCATCAAGATGTACATCTATAGGAGTGGTGCATACGGCATATATCCATGTTAACTTATAAGAACACCATCGGTAGTAAGATGTGCACTAAGAACATTAGTCATTTACATGTCCAAGTTAGGATCAGATCTACTAATGCAAGAGGGAACTGCATTACTATTTATAATGCAAAAGAACTGGATTGTTTATGCAAAACAACTGAATTGCTTATGCAAAAGTAGTGAATTGCTTATCGTTAGGATCGAGATCAGCTTATGCAAGATAGGAACATCGATTATATCGATATCGAACTAAATTGCTTCTAGTAACATATATCTGGTTGATTCTATTGTGTAATTCTAACGTCTCGAGAAGAAGCTGATTATCGGTGATAGTATCAAGTTCTTGCATATTTGTATGTACCTTTGTTTGGATGTATTGGCCTGCCTTGTTTGGATGAATCTGCTGGCCGCTTGATGATGGTGGCGGCGACGTCTGGACGCCTCTCTACTTTTTTGCGTGTTGAAAGGGAAAAGCAAAACAGGGCGAGGGGAAGAAGCTTCCAGGTGGGGCGTGGGTCTGGCCTCTGGTGGGCCTTGTCCAGGAAGCGCGCTTAGAATGGAGTGTGTGTGTGTGTGTGTGGCCTGCTTAATGCATGCACGGTCGTGCATTAGTCATTTCCTTGTATATGCATCTTTCATATTTTTATTCATCAGTGTTCCAAAATATCAGAAAAGTAACGAATACATTTTTGGAAAAAGTGATGCACTAAGTTA